TCCATATTGTAAACAAAGCAGGTAATGGGTATCTGTAAAACAGCAGAAGTGGACTCATACCTTTGAGTCCCAACAAGAACTACAGATTTGGGTTAAAAGCTTGTGTATTTTTCTTCTGTCCAGAAAGCCAGGTATAAATTGGACAGACATTTATGGCCTGATGAGAAGCACTTTTAGGTTTACATTTAAATATGACATCTAAAACAAATCCAAAATATTGAGCTTGTGACTGAACAGTAAGTAGTTATTGCTCTACCAGCTCATCAGGACTCCTAAATGTTAAGCTGTGAACCATAGATCAGGAGAGTAATCTGAAACTTATCTCATTTTAGACTCATATCTGAACCTTTATGACTTACTTAAATTTTTATATCTTAGAACATTTTCCTAAAAGTGAGGTAACAAGCTAGCTAATGCCTTGCAGAAGGATCTGGTTGATGCTGCCACACTGACAAAGTTAGAGCTATCCTAGCCATCAGTACTATCAGAGATCTGAGAATTATAAACTATATCTGAGTGCAGACCAAGAAGCTTCCAATCCTATAAATTACAGGGACCAATCCCTACGCAGGTCTCTATAGCATGGGAGGCACCAGTTGGAACAGCATCAATCTTCTTTCACCATCCAGCCCATTACGATCCTGTTTCCTGACTTCAACACCAGCGGCTCCATCACAAGCTTCCCATCAGCTCCTTCACCAGGCTCTAATGTGACCATCACTTCTCCATCAGGCTGACGGATGCTGCAGAAGAGACAGTGTTGCTGCCAGATGAACTGTCCAGTCAACTTGATGTCCACATCTACCTGGCCAACCCTGGTGACACCATCTTTGCTGTGGTAGAGAAGATACTCTGACATCAAGAAGTCCTCATTCAGATATACTAGATGGGGAGACTCTCTTTTTTTTGGAGAGAAGACACCAACAGTACCACCATCCTCTCAGACAGCCACACCCATCTCAGCCAGCAGTGTTTATTTTTCTGACTCCTGCAGCCTCTCCATGGCCTCTTCAGGCCCAATATGTGGCTCAGCACTTGTGGAAAAGGAAGACTCTAGCTCCCCATTGTGTGGAGGAGGAGATGAGGTTAAGCTGGGGTGGGAGGAGATGATGCAGTCAACAGAGCATCTCCAGGACTGCCCTCTTTTACCTTTACACCTCCTAGAGTAGATGCTGAGAGTCTGTTAGCCATCAGCAGCTCCTGCACCCACCCCCTTCTGCAGCTCTTAGGTAAGCCAGGCATTAGGGCATCTTGCCCTGTGGTCCAGTGTAGCCATACTCTAAACAGACATGTTGTGGTGCCTCGTACATAATCTTTTCTGGAGACTTTGGGTCACTGCTAGGATATGAAAGCCTGTCTGATATAATAAGCTTTTAGATCAACATTTAAATACCATACTCTGCAGATTTCTGAAGTATGAGGTCAGTCCAGGTATATCTGAATAATCAAACTTTGTTTCTAGGTACTTGTTTCAAGCTCAACCCTGAAAACATAACAAACTTAGCAAATTCAATGAGGCTAGACAATATTCATAAGCTTGAATTTACATTGGGTAAGGAGAACCATTTTGTAAGCCATTGGTTTTTAACTATAAAAACTGTTCTTAAAAGATTAAGATCTCTCAAATGTCTTCTGTAATATCAACAATAAAGTATCTTCTTTCACTTTAAGGGGGAGAAAACATGGCATCATCACAATCTGTATAAAGTAAAACCAAGCTCCAAAGTGTAAACAATCCCAAAATTCAATATCTGGGATTTATTTATAATCTTTCTGGTTCTTTTACTTAGAGGCTTAGATGATTTCTTTGACCCTGCCTTTGGCAGCACATACATAGCCTGCCTGTTCTATTTTATTTTGACGGATGCTTCCTGTTATCATCACCTGTCATTAACATTTTTTTAAATGCTAAGGTCCACCACTGCAACTAGACTCTTTTTGGAACTCTAGTCCAAAATGTAGTCATACATTTGCAAACCTCAGTTGTTTCCTATGATTTCCTTTATATTACAAAGTTTAGCTGCCAGAGCAAGGTATATTCCCATGTATAAAAGCATTGATGTGCAGCTTTAATATTAATCAAATACCGTATTTATTAAACACATGTTGCCATCTATTTAAATTCTCTAGAAACGTGCTGTTGAATACTTTGTAAAGACATAAGTACTTAGGTGATAACCCGAGTAGATCTTTATAACCTTAGTAAAAGATGGCTGCCAGCCACATGGCAGCCAATGAGGTCACCAGCCAAGATGGAGGGAGCCATGTGGTTGCTGTTTAAAGCTCATTTTTCTAAACAATAATTACTTGCACACATACACACAGTTGGATCCAAGTTACACACATACATACATACAGTTAAAGCTCGCTTACATTTTCAAGTCACATACCTGTACACAGACACACATAAGCAGTTTGCAGAATCATTAACAAACAGTTTACATCACATCACCTCTGACCTTCTACAACCCTCCATATACCCTCAGTCTGTTACTTTGATCCCTCAGACATTTACTCTAGACAATTTTCACTTTTTTTCCTTTTAAAATAGAATACAATACAATACCTATCATAGTCATTTCATGTCTCTGCCACTGGTGACCATAGAACCATTTTCAAAAATAAATATTGCTAAGGATGTGAGCACATGACATTAATCCAGGCCATTGGAAAACCCGAACATTATATTTTATTTTATTATTATTTTTTTTATTTTACAACACCATTCAGTTCCACATAATAGCCACAGATTCCCTGTTATCCCCCTCCTGCCACTCTCCCCCTTCTCCCAGCCTATCCCCCATTCCCACCTCCTCCAGATCATTTAACAGTGGGCTACCATCTTACCATACAACCTCAACTCAGAATCATGAGCTGGGTGTCCCAAAACCACCAAGTCATAAAGTAGGACATGAACAGCAGCAACCTATCATCAAATTGAAGTGGTATATTGTTGATTGAGCCCAAGAAGGCCCTGAAGGCACAAGAAACCTACAGGAAGAAGTTGTCCAAATGCCTATGCTTTCTACTGCTTTTACAATATTTCCTGCTGCCAAGCATGCCCCTACAGTCACAAGTAGGGAGGGGATTCTTTAGGATTGGTTGAATGAGGAAGAGAAGACTAGAGCTTGGTTTACTGATTGTTCTGTACATCATGGAGGCACCACCCAAAAGTGGACAAGTACAGCATTTCAACC